CTTTGAGGGGTCTGGAAGACACTCACATCATCTCATCTCCTGCACCATCTGTGGGATGATGCTTTGCCCTCCCTCATGTCCTGCCTGATCCCCTTGCAGAAGACTTGCTGGGACCCAAGGCACAAATCTACCTCTTTCTCCCAAAACAAGCTGGCCCACCCCACACTCACAAGGGAATTTAAGGGCTGCAATTGCTTTTCAGGTTTTTATTCAAGCTGTTTTTGAGGATGCCCCAGGGCTGGTCAGGAAAACTGGACCACATGTACTGCGGTCTGGGGCAGCGAGGCATCCCAAAGGTCCCTGGCTGTGCTAGCTAGCAAAGCTGCATAGATTGCCAAAGGACAAGACCAAACCCAGGCCATTCGTCCCCAGAAGTACACATAAGTCAAGGCTCTGCCTACCATGCAGCTGCTCGCTTCCCTGCAACAGCAGTGTGTCATGGGAGAGAGAGCTGATGGGAATAGTTTTCACAACTAAATCACACCTCAGGAGTCACTTCTGCCCAAGCCTTGAAAAAAACCATCAGGCAGCTATAAAACACTCACAAAAAAATGCCCGGTGACAGCTCAGGATTTGCTGATGGCTTCCACTCACAGTCCAGCACAGAATCAGAGAAGGGTTTGGGTTAGAAAGGACCTTAAAGCTCACCCAGTTCCAGCCCCCAGCTGGAAGGTATGTCCTTCCAGGCAGGGTCACCTTTCCCTAGACCACGGATAGCATCAGTGCCTGAGGCACAACCAAGCCAGGAGTTCAGATGCAAGAGGTATTTTTGCAACATCGGCTGTCCCATCTACCCGCCATTGCACCCATCCACCCGCCATTGCACCCATCCACATATACACACGGCACATCACATTCCCAGTCACGTTTTCCCTCCCTCTCAAAGCCAGGCAGTCCAGCCGAGAGGCACACAGAACCAAGCCAAGTGATATGTAACAGTTGTAGTATTTTTTCCTGCCTTTTCTATTTTGCTTTCCAAGCCTATCAATCTGCTTCGCACTTTTACGTATCTTTCCACTTTAGTGGAAAAAGCACTCACAAGCAGGTGATGGCTTAGAAAGTGAATTTGAAACATCCAGTCAAATAAAAAGATTATGCAAAAAGTCAAACTTTATGCGCAGAGAAGTATGTGATAAGGAAAAAACAGCTGCTGGGGAAAATACTTCAGGAAATCACTTCATTGTGTTCGTGGTAGGAATGATTGCCTTTTGAAAGCATTATTAGTAACAGATGTATATGTCCTGATGAAACAGAGGACATACTGTGATATTAAAAGGTTACCACACACTATATAAATTCCAAAGAGACATAAAACCTTCAGATTACTGAAGACCACATGGGTTAATCTTTTAGCACATGGATTATTGAGAGAGCTCCTCAGCTTTTGGTGCTACTTCTTAAGAGCTCCTGACAATGCTTTCCTTTCCTGAAGACATTCAGGAGCTCATTTTCTCAGCATTTTTTCCCAGCCTGCAGTGCTCATGAAGAGCTTCCCCAGAGCTTGTCATAAAAATAAAAACATAAAATATTAAGTTGCCTCGTTAAAGGTTCATTATTGAGAATGCCAAGAATGCCGGACAATAGAATTGCAAAACAGATACTTCCAGAATCAAGAATTGAAATGAATGAGCCTATGTTCCCATCCCTGGTTTTAACTCCACTCCCTGCAAGCTGGTGACACCTCCAGCTTCTGTGACCAGTAAGAATACAGTGAGCAAAAGAGTTACTTTCTGTGCCCCACCAAGGCAAGGCAAGCCAAACCAAGCAAGACCTGCTTCCAAGCAATAAAACTTTTATCTTTCACCATCTTAAACCCACTTTTCTCACAGAGCCCGAGACTCACTTTGGGCTCAGTCAAACCAGAGCCAGGCAAAATCCTGTTTCAAATCTCCCCCAAACCCTCACAAGAAACCACTTAACTTCTATAGGAAAGCTTCTCTGCTGTGCTCTGCTGTCCTGTCCTTGCTGCTCCTGATGCTCCCAAGGATCCATCCCTCACAGGGAGATAACCTCCTTTCCCACCCCTTTGTAAAAGCACTATCTGCTCCTCCTTCGCTCTTGCCACCTGATGAAGGGTCCCTCTCCAGCATCCTTGTAGCCCCCTTTGCGTGCGCTCAGAGGATGAACCCCACAGCAACACCCATGGCTAACCCTGCAGCCATGCATCCTTTGGGTCAAATCAGGGAGCAAGCTGCACTCAGCAGGGCAGATTTATTCCCACTGGAGGCACTGGGAGGTGCCGGGGCAGGACGGGTGCCAGCTGACACGGATGATCTTTATGAATGACAGCAGTGCCTCTCTGGGCTGCAGCAGCTGCTTTGTAAATCAAGGAGTTGCCAATAACAGAGAAAACTTGACACACCTGAATTAACACTGCATGTTTCTGCTGGCTCTGGGGGGCTATTGAATGTCTCCCCACCTGGTGGGGTTCTTACTGTTATTGCCATTGTTATTGTTAACAAGTGTGGGGGGAAAGGTAGAGGCTGACCGTTGCCTGACTTGTGCTATTATCATTCATAAATACTATCAGGGAGCCAATGTGGGAATTCTCCTTCCCACTGGCTCCCTCTGATAGCCCTGAGGAATGGCTCTTCAGGGGAAGATGGATCAGCTGGTCAGATGTTTATTGCCAAGTTTTCTCTGATTCATAGAATCATAGAATGGTTTGGGTTGGAAAGGACCTTAAGATCATCTAATTCCAACCCTCTGCCATGGGCAGGGACATCTCGCACTAAACCGTGTTGCCCAAGGCTCTGTCCAACCTGGCCTTGAACACTACCAGGGTTGGAGCATTCACAACTTCCTTGAGCAACCTATTCCAGTGCCTCACCACCCTCACTGTGAAGAACTTCTTCCTTATATCTAATCGAAACTTCCCCTGTTTCAGTTTGAACCCATCACCCCTTGTCCTGTCACTCCAGTCCCTGATGAGGGTCCCACTCCAGTCCCTGATGAAGGTCCCTCTCCAGCATCCTTGTAGGCCCCCTTCAGACACTGGAAGCTGCTCTGAGGTTTCCAGCAGCTTCTCTTCTCCAGGCTCAACAGCCCCAATGTTCTCAGCCTGTCTTCATACGGGAGGTGCTCCAGCCCCTGAGCATCCTCGTGGCCTCCTCTGGACTTGCTCCAGCAGCTCCATGTCCTTTTTATGTTGAGGACACCAGAACTGGACACAATACTCCAAGTGAGGTCTCACGGAGCAGAGTAGAGGGGCAGGATCACCTCCTTTGACCTGCTGGTCATGCTTCTTTTGATACAGCCCAGGGTACGGTTGGTTTCTGGGCTCAGTGCATGCTGAAGCCGGCTCATGTCAAGCTTCTCATCAACCACCACCCCCAAGTCCTCTCCACAGGGCTGCTCTGAATCTCTTCCCCGCCCAGCCTGTAGCTGTGCCTGGGGTTGTGCCGACCCAGCTGTAGGACCTTGCACTTATCTTGGTTAAACTTCATGAGGCTGGCATCAGCCCACCTCACAAGCGTGTCCAGGTCCCTCTGGATCCCATCCCTTCCCTCCAGCGTATCAACCGAGCCACACAGCTTGGTGTCGTCGGCAAACTTGCTGAGGGCGCATCAATCCCACTGTCCATGTCACCGACAAAGATGTTGAACAAGACAGGTCCCAGCACCGATCCCTGAGGGACACCACTCGTTACTGGTCTCCAACTGGACATTGAGCCATTGACCACAGCTCTTTGTCTGCGGCCATCCAGCCAGTTCTTTATCCACTGAGTGGTCCATCCATCCAATTGATGTCTCTCCAATTCGGAGACAAGGATGTTGTGTGGGACAGTGTCAAACGCTTTGCACAAGTCCAGGTAGATGATGTCAACTGCTCTGCCCCTGTCCATCAGTTCCTGGCACCTGGTTCTGTTTCTGGCTTTGCCAGTGATGGCCATCTCTGTAACCACTGTGGCTTTTCTTAAAGAGGGGGTTACTGTTCCCCCTAGCTCTCAAAGGCTCATGTATTGGTCATACTCTCTGCACTGATGGAGTTTGGCAAGGATGGTAATAAGAAAATGGGTGAGTTTAAGATTTCTATTGTTTTCCAATGGTGACCTGGTCAATAGCTCGATGTATTTGAATCACTTTTGGCTCATTTGAGTAGCTGAGCTCTTTTGGGGGAATGAAAAGTATTAAATCACAGGATTCTCTTCTGGGAGGATGTTTTTCCAGTTAAGCAAACCTTGTTGGTTTCTAGTCCGTAGGCTTGGAAATTGACATTAAATAAGTTGTCTGTCTCTATGGCGACAGAACCACAGCTCCCCTGCAGAAGGCATTGGTTCAGGAGGCTCTCCAGGCAGAGCACAGATAAGAAACTCGCATAAGTTATATTTCTGGTTCCAACATCTGAAATATTATTCTTGGTGCCTTTCCAGAATGTGATCAGGGTGTGGGGGAGGCCAAGGGCTTTTCCCTGATCATGTGGCTCACTTGGATCTGGAGTGATAAAACATCCATTTGTACGCTTGGGGCAGCTGAAGAGGTGAGCTGAGGCAAAAGGGGTGTTCAGGGAAGTGATGGCCATGGTGCTTGTGAGAAATGAAATACGGGCAACAGGAAGAGGGAGCACACTCACCAAGGTGTTAGAGCTGGTCACCCATCGGAGAGCAAGGCAGGTGAGAGGCCACCATAGATTTTGAGGGTTGGTGGTAGAAACCTGGGCTGACCATTTTCCCCTATGTCAGGTATTACCTGGGACAGCACAGGCAAGAAGAAAGCTATCTAAGTTCACAGGGGTGATTAAATGCCAATTATGTGAGCGGTGATTCCTCTGCCAAAGGGATGCTTGCTATGAGCAGACTCTACAGCTTTTAAGATTTGGGGTTTTTTTCTCCCCTACCAAAGTGCACAAAACCCCATGGTTTGGCTCTTCTCTCTCGTGCCTCATGTGTGCCTGGCCAGCACTGCTGCTGTTTCTCACTCTCCCTGTTTTTCTCCTGTAGGTCTCACATTGGGTGCTTCGAAATAAGGATAATAAAAGGAAAACTCAGATAAAAGACTAAAATGAGGAAACACCGACATCTGCCCTTTGAGGCAGTGTTTTATCTCCTGCTCTCAGGCTGTTGCTTGGTTCATGCCCAGCAGCAAGCAGGTAAGACTCTGCTGCTTTTTGTGACTTCGCCCCATACGAACGTGCCGGTTGTTCACAGTGTTTGGTTTTTAACATGCATGTCGATGGTCTGTTGTGGTTTACCCTCTGCTCTCAGCTCCCACCCAGCTGAGGGTCCTTTCAGACCTTAGCCAACGCGCGTGGTGCCTTCCCGAGCATGTCGCTGGCCGATGGCGTGCCTTTGAGGATGCTCTGCGGGGGACAGAGGTGCAGGATGCGCACCCCCAGTGGCCCCAGGCGGGTGTTCTCCTGGGCAGAGCTGTTTTGCCCTCCTTGCATATGTCGGAGGGCTTTTTACAGTGAGAAGAGCACTGCCACCGACCTCTAGAAGGGCACTGGTGCCTTTGGGACCAGAGCTGGTGTCATGAGGTGGGTGTTAGCAGCAGGCAAACTATGGAAAACTCATTCCAGCACCCAGGCTGCTTAAACTGAGCAGCCGTTCCTTCCTTGAGAACTACCACAGAGGCGGCAAAGCCCTGAGTCAGCAAAAAACCTGCAGGAGACCACGGGCAGCTAGAGGCGGAGCAAACCTGAGTTCACACGTGAAGCTGCAGGGGTCTGGCTCAGGGCTGTGCAGCAAGGGTCCAGGAGGGGAGAAGTGTCTTGCCTCCCCCTCTCTGGGAAGGGTAGGTCGCATGCTGTCCTCTCCTGCCCCTCAGTGCTGGCGGTGTCAGGGCGCTGATGGCTGTCTGGCTTTTCTCCAGCAGTTCTCGCTGTGCTGAGGGCGGTAAAGGGAAGCTGAGCTTCACTTTCACCATGCGAAAGAGGCTGTCGGTTGTTTGGGTGAGGAGGAGGAGGAGGCTGCTTGTGCTGGCTGATAGAAAATCCTAAATCCCCATCTGTTTTTTTAAAGCTGTCAAACCCGTTGCTGTGGCTGATATAATATTTCTAGTGGATTCCTCTTGGAGCATTGGGAAGGAACATTTCCAACTGGTTCGAGAGTTTCTGTATGATGTTGTAAAAGCTTTAGATGTGGGAGGAAATGATTTTCGCTTTGCCCTGGTCCAGTTCGGCGGAAACCCCCACACAGAGTTCCAGTTAAATACCTACCCCTCTACCCAGGACGTCCTGTCCCATATCACCAACATGCCTTACATGGGGGGAGGCACCAAGACTGGAAAAGGATTAGAATACCTAATCGAGAACCATCTCACTAAAGCTGCTGGAAGCAGAGCCAGTGAAGGTGTCCCCCAGGTTATTATAGTGTTAACGGACGGACGATCCCAGGATGCTGTGGCTCTGCCATCGTCTGTCCTTAAATCAGCCCATGTAGACTTGTTTGCGATCGGCGTGCAGGAGGCGGTGGAAGGGGAGTTGCAGGAAATAGCAAGCGAACCCTTCGATACGCACCTTTTCAACCTAGAGAATTTTACCGCTCTCCACGGCATAGTTGGAGACTTAGTGGCAAGTGTCCGTTCATCCATGACTCCAGAAAAGGCTGGGGCCAAAGGACTGGTTAAAGACATCACAGGTAATGGCCGACTGCTGATGGCTTCCATCAGCACGGTATCTGCTGGTGTTGTGCTGTTTAAAGCCTTTGTAGGGGCAAGACTGAGATGGACGTTCAAGAGGTTTAAAAACAAAGGTTTGAAGTGTGTGGCCCCATGTTTGTAGCTATCGAGCGCGCTGTCACCTGCAGACTGAACTGGCATCCCAGGAGGTAGCACAGGAGCCCTGGGATGGGCAGTGACCCGTTGTGGCCATCCTTTTGCACCCATGGCATGGAAACGAGCTCAGGTCAATAACTCTGCAGGGAGCTCTGCAGAGTTATTAAATTGCCCCATCCTATCCACTCCCAAGGCAGGGAAATAGGGGATGAGCACACTAGTTATGATGGTGATTCTCTGAGACCCTGACCAAAAACCCTCAAGAGCAAGAAGGTCACTGCTGGCTGCAGGGACACCATGTGGGATGTCCCCTTGCAGCTAGCAGGGGACATAGGCAATGTGCTACTTCAGAAAGTGACATTCTTGACAGAAGACAGCAAAAGCAGTTCGGTGGAGACCTTCTCCGCTGAAACCCCATCCCTGAGCTGGCCCTTCTCACCTGCTTCGAGGAAGGTCCCTCTTGCAACACCACTCAAATGCCTTCTGTACAAGCCGATGGCTTCCACCTGCTGGAGTGCTGGACCCTTTCTGTGACGGAAACCTCCCTTCAGACCACCTGGGCATCAACACATCTGTGCTGACTGCAAGCTGGGGACCCAGTTTGCCTGGAAAAAAGCAAGACGCTTCCTCCAGCCTTTCTCTGTTTATTAAATTTCAGTGTGGAAGGGGCCCTTTGAGCAGCTTTGTTGTGTTTCACAGCAGAAGCCCCAGAGATCAAACCTTTCTTTTTATTCCTGAGACTCCATCTGAAGGTCAATAGCTTGTGGGGTGATATAAGGCAACAGCAGTGTGATGAGGCAGTGTAACATTAATCCCCCTCTTTTGGCTTGCCTGATTAACCCTCACGCCAGCCCCACTGAGTGCTCTCCATCACTGCATGACACTGAGCAACACCAAAAGGCTGTGCTCATGTCTGTTTTTATTGTGCAAAGTGCTTGACAGGGCAAATACCCAGATCATGTGAAAGCCACAGGGAAGGAAAGCAGCTGCCCCAGAAAGGTGACATAAGGTTCACCAATTCTAAGAAATTCACGTCAATATATGTGGAAATTGAGTGTTATCCCAACCAGCTACAGCACTGCAGTGGCTGCTTCACAGCTTCTCCGTTGAGGACCACAGTGCTTCCCTGTTTAAATCCGGGGGAATTGTTCTTTGGCGGCTGACTGTCCTCCTCAGGGGCACACCAGCATGTAACCCCATAGTACATAAACATCTGGAATCACAGACATTTCTTTAAAAGCTCTAAAGGCGATTTCCTCCTTTGTGTTTATGGTACATTTCCAAGTTCATTTCTACTCTGAGAGATTTTTTGCATTTCCTCTCCCCCATAACACAAATTTAAGTTAATCCTACTATAGTAGTTTTGCCCCTGTGTGACTTGCATGGATGATCTATGGAATATCATGAAACATGGGAAAAGATGTTACAGGTCCTAAACATTGGATGACAAGAGTGTGCAAAGCATGGTACAAATAACATTTGCATGAGTTTAAGAAGTGGTTTTATTCAGCTGCTAACTCCATGTAGCATTAAAATGTGTAAAAATGCCGTGGAAGTTATGCTAAAAATGAGCCCTGATATTAAAGAGAAATGTAAAAAACTCCCAGTCCCACTGTACTTCCAGTAGAAAGTACCAAAGCTGTTGGGCTCTGGCAGTGCCCAGAGCTGACTAGTGTAAGTGTGAGAGTCAGCCCCGAGTTTGCCCTGATGTATTTGTTAAATCTGAGCTGTCTGTCTCATCTGACCCTCCTTGCTTAGTTGTGTAACAAGCATGCTTTTATTTGTTCTCCAGCACCAGCTTGTTCCATAAACGTGCACTGAAGTACAAGGTGTTTTTACGGTGATGACAAATTATCCAACGCATCTGTTTCTTACCTATTTTCTCTCCTGTGGGAGTGACCTGTGCTGCTGTGATGACACCCATGGGCATCTGAAACCTTGTTCCTCAAAAAGATGTCCAGGGTATCTAAAGCAGCGCTGGGTACAACCACTTTGAGATTTTCCCTTTATTTATATGATGAAGTAGAATGTGTACATCCCACCTGAAAACGGCACAGTAGAAACAACACTAAGCACCCCTAAGTTTTGACTCAGTGATGGAAAAATAAATCCTGCAGTCTTTTGTAATTCTGAACCATTTTAAAGCCAATACTGGCAGTGGAGTTGGCCCAGGGAAATGATGATGCCCTGAAGACCTTCTTTGTTGCTGGAATTGTGGTATTATTAGAATCTCTTGGTGACATTGTGATGTGTGAAAACATTTGCTAGAAAAGCAATAAAACAGGATAAAAAAAAACCCAACGAAACCCAACCCCAAAGAGGTGGTTTTACCACTGCTGGTTAACAGCAAAGACTGCAGGTTTATCCCTGGCCTTGCTAAACTCCATGCCAGTTTTGCTATTGGTTTCACCTTTGGCTTTCAGAAGTTGAGAGTGGGGTTTCCAGGCGGTGCATGTCATTCATTTGCAAATAGCCTGAAATTTGATTTCTTGAGAAGATTGGAGAGTAATAGCATGGAAACATCCAAGCATGTTTTTGGGTGGTCTTTACCCCTGTTTGCATGCATACAGCTCTTGGTGACATTGATGGTTATAAATTAGTTGAGCAAAAGGAGTAAGAGCAAACACCAGGGCATGTTTGGTCTGCTTCGGTAAGTCTCACAGCAAAAATGTTTCCCCCTTCATAATCATGTTCATGCCATATAAAAGGTTGGGGGTTTTTGGTGTGTGGATAGTCTCAGCAGATGCTTGCGATCATCTGGTTATGGTCACAACAAATAGAGTTGGATAATTGTGTCATGACTAATTTCATCACCCTGTTTTAACCTGATTCTGCATTCCTTGATTGAATATCCAGAGTCCATATGAAAAATACCAACCCAGCCCCTCTATCGATAATCAGCGCTGCTTTCTGCGAAGTAATTAAAGCAAGACAACTGTTTGCTGTAGGTTGGCAGCTGTGCAGGTCTGCAATACCATTGTGTGTGTGCTGGCTGCTAGTAAAAGAGTTACAGAGCAAGAATAACAACTGCAGCCTTTTCAAGTGTTTCTAACAAATGCATTTGGAATAATAATCCTTCATGGTGGGAGAAGCCAGTAAATTCAGCCACTGCTCTTAACCAGCAAAAGAGAAGATTCGCAATGGAGAGGCTGAAACTTCCCATGATCCCAGTGTAACAGTGGGGTTTTCTTTAAAAGAAAGAGTGCAGTGAGGAAAACCTCCTCTTAATCTTCCTGTCCTCACCCACTGTCTGCAGGCTGAATTACCACCAAAATCCATCTTTTCCTTTTAGCTCTGTCTAAATATTGAGGCAGTGCTGGCCACGGGTGGAATGGATTTAGATTGGAAAAAACCTGTATTTTGCCAAGTTTTCTCCTTGTGTGCCAATAATTCTGACCCCTGTGTAATTGCAACCACCAGCTCAGGTTGTGCCTCTTGATGGGCAGTGGATGCTACTGGGTTGGGGCTGGGAGCTCTTATTCAATCAGAATGCAGAACTAAGAGGCAACCTCCTCAGTGAACATGTGTTTTGTTTGCTCATTTCGTGTTTCTTACTGTTTTTCCAAGAAACATGTCAGAACACTGTACAACCGCATGTGATCACCCATTTTAATGCCTTCACCTTTGCATTTCTTTTTTTAAAGCTCAAGAGTCTGCTGACCTTATTTTCCTTATTGACGGATCAGACAACATCGGAAGTGTCAATTTTCAAGCCATACGTGATTTCCTTGTAAATTTGATTGAAAGCCTCAGAGTTGGAGCTCAGCAAATACACATTGGGGTGGTGCAGTATAGTGATCAACCCAGAACCGAGTTCGCTTTGAACAGCTACTCCACAAAAGCGGAAGTTCTGGATGCCGTGAAGGCACTTAGTTTCCGCGGTGGCGAGGAAGCGAACACCGGTGCGGCACTGGAGTTTGTGGTGGAGAACCTCTTCACCCAGGCAGGAGGCAGCAGGATAGAGGAAGCGGTGCCTCAGATTTTAGTGCTGATAAGTGGTGGAGAGTCTAGTGATGATATCCGAGAGGGCGTGTTAGCGGTGAAGCAAGCTAGTATATTTTCCTTTAGCATTGGGGTCCTGAATGCTGACAGTGCAGAGCTGCAGCAGATTGCTACTGGTGGAAGCTTCGCATTTACTGCCCTGGATATCCATAACCTCGATGCTCTTCGAGAATTATTACTGCCCAATATTGTTGGAGTGGCCCAAAGACTCATTTTGTTAGAGGCCCCAACCATTGTGACTGAAGGTATGTATGTCTTTCTAGACTGTTGCATTGTGATGAATGAATGAGCTTTTGCACACTTGAAAACATGTTTATTTTTTTAATTATTACTTTTTTCCTTTTCCTTCTGCCATGAATCTCTCTGGTCAGGTTGTGGGAAGGACATGCAGTCCTGCTGCTGGTGGGCAGAAATGCTTTTGCCCGGTGGGTTATCTTTTGAAAGCTGTGAGGTTGCGTGTCAATCGCTGGCATGGCATGGGGCTTTAAAGGACACAAGCAGGGCATAAAAAAATCTCATATAATCCTTTTTGGGGTATGTAAGGACTCTAGGAGTAAATACTGCACCACGGTCAGTTTGAAAACATCGATGTCACATTAGCTTACATTACATGCCAGTTGAGTGCCATGAGAATGAAATTTGATGGGGGAAGCTAACAGGGATGTTAAATGGATCCTTACTTCACAGAGTTGAAGTTATCAGATTGCTAAAACAGTACAATTCCATACCTTATTGAAACTGTGCACTGCCCTTGGGAAAACAGTGAAATCCTGTGTTGCTGAACTTAAAAAGCAAAATAACCCTTAGTTCTTCTGAAGTGAAATCCCTACATTGCTCGTATCTATTTCCCTTCAATGTATAAGCTGAGAAAATCTACATTGTTCTGTGAGGCCATGGGGAAAGAAAATGTAGTTGTGAATATTCCACTTAAATCACTTTGTCACTCTTAAGTCCTCATTAATATTAGTTTTGGACTAGCATCAGCTCGGGTGCAGTAGAATAATGACTATCTGGATTTATGGAGCAAGTAGGTGGTTGAGAGTTTCTCACTCTGTGTTTTTACGACTAAGTTAAGCTTACTGATAGAGAGGCTTTAAGGAAGACACAACACATTGTACTTCAGAGGCTCCTGGAAAGGGCCAGGCTGGAGTTACTGCACGCACTTACGAGGATGCTCCATGTAAACAATACTTTTGGGATCCAAGTGCCAGGCTGGAGTTCTGTACATCCTGTTCAATTCATGATATATGTTGACACATAAAACTGCATTCCAGATGTCTTTGCTGATCTATGTCTAAATATGATTGCTACCCAGTGGCTCAAATCAAAGGGAGGAGTTTGCCTGAAAGATCATTTTATGACCTTGCCTTGATTATTTCAGGAAAGAGCATAAAAACTTTTGCTTGTAGCCTCCCCCCCCCCCCGACATGAATAGATGCCTCAAAGTGCCTTTCTGCCTCTCTTTTCCCCTCTCCTTCAACTACTAGGGGAGCCCAGATGATTAAATTCTGTGAGACGCTTCACCAAAGAGAGCTAAGATGGCAATGAAGAGGGAACTATGCAGGGCTGGGTTCAGTGCTGACACCCTCCAACATTCCCAGCCTTTAGAGTCAAAGACATAATGCTTTGATCCCAAATCCTTTGAAATTCCTGGGAGACTTGCCATCAGCTTTACTGGCTCCGAGTCAGACTCTGTGCGATGTGTATAGGGTTGCTGAAATGCTTTTGCTTTGATTGTATCCATTGAAATTAACGCCATGGTTTGTTTCCTCCTGGGGGTTTTGGTTTCAGTTCTTGCATTCCTCTCCTCTAATAAAACATACTTCAGGATTTGAAAGCTGCAAGAGAAATGAGTGGAGAGAGCTATTCCTTCCCAGCGTCCCTCATCTTTGCAAAGCCCCTTTCATATTTCCCACAAACTTCTATACAAAGTCAAAAGCTTTGGGGTATCCATTTTTGGGTATCTAGCTGCTGAGAAGCTAGGGAAGTACTTGGGACATCTCTCCTGGATGATACGAAGCAGAGATTTCAGGCTTTCTTATCCATTTGGCAAGTTTCCTGTTTTCAGCCCTCTCCTCCTTGGAGCAACTGATGATGAAAAAAACCTACCTGGGAGAATAAAAGGTGGATATAATGGTTCTGGGAAAGGAATAGTTTAAACAGATCCTTGTGGCTTTGTGAGTAGTTCTGTTTTGACAGCCTGGGCAGCCAACTGCAAGCAACTGGCAGCTCACGTGAGGCTGTGTCTTGGGGAGGGTGCCACCACATTCACTTCGTGCAGGTTCTCACCGTTTTGTGTCTGACACCACCGAGGTGGGCTATTCTAATCTTCACATTTTAACAATCAGTCCTTAATCAAACAACTTCCAGCAAGACTTCGTGAGAGGCTTGTGCAAAGGCTTGCACTGGTGGCAGAGGAAGGTCTCTTGGGGACTGGGGACAGAGAGGCTGCTGAGACACAGATGTTATCTCCAGCTCTTAATCACCCCTTGGGGTAGCCCAGTCTCATGGCACTCACCCCTGATGAGAAACCTGACGGAGATGAGCCTTTGGGAACACTGCTTTCCATGGCCAGCTGGTGTGCAGCCAAGAAGTACTGCAGCCAAAGCTTTGGGTTTTGTTCAAATCCAAAGTAAACAGCCTCCATTCAGAGGAGCACTGATGGGCTGAGGGGCTGCACTTTTCCATCGAGGCCATACAAGAGTGTTTGCTTCCACTTGCCCTGAGAGGTTTGAGATCCTGACGATGCTGGGTCTCCTCATCCCCCAGGCTGTGCACTGAGCATAGCGGCGAGCATGGGAGATGATGGACCTGCCACCTTGAATACTGACCCATCTCAGGAGCACTTAGGTGGGCTGGCAATTTAGGACACCCCAATTTCAACATAATGCAATAATCCATAATGCTCCAGCATAACTTGGAAGCATCACAAGGTTTTCTTTTTCACTTCAATGACATGAAATTAGGAAGGTGATGATATGAGTGGGGTTGTATAAAAGATGGTATCAGGATTATCTCCCATGATGATCATGTATAATGCTTTTATCATAGCGATATTGGTCTTGTTAATATTTTCTGGGGTTTTTTGTGTGTACATTTGCTGTATTAAATATGATGGTGCTTTGTTTCCAATGCTGCACCACAGGGTTGTTTTTTCTTCCCTAACTATCTTCCTTCAAACTTAGCCCGGGAGCTGGAAAGCTAACTGTGCTCGTTCTGATTCCTGTGGCATCATCAGTAATAAAGTTACAGAGATTACAAAGTAGGGGACCTGTTTTGTTAAAGACATGGCAACAAGAGTATATGATTCAGCTCCTCCATGGCTGGGCTAGCTGTGCCAAGAAAAACCGTAACTTGGTTTTGTCAGATAAGGAATAAGATGTAGGATGTGAAGACTCAAAGTCCAGGTATGTTGAATAAGTGGGGACTGTTCTTGTGTCATTGCTCTTGAGAACATAATCCTTCTGAGACCAAACCATGCTCTGGCATGATGCTCATGGCTCCACTGCAGATAGAGGAAGCATCACCTGCTTATTTTGACTCATGTGCCAGCTGAGTACCAACATTTCTCCTGTTTGCCCTTTCTTGTTTTGACATGTATGTGCATTTTAATACTAAGTTTTATAAACGATGCAGTTCTTGCAATTCTTCAGCTCTTCTGTGTTTTAGATAGGGAAAACATTCCTATTTCTTATTAACTGTCTGCTAGAACTTAGAAAATAATTCTGTTTGAAAGCAAGACACTTTAAAAGTTGTTGGGAGTAACAGTACTTCTGACAGACAAGAAGTCCTAAATGTTGCTGAACTGTTGACCTAGAACTGATCTGCAGTGTGGTGAAGGCTTCCGCTAACATTATGTTCATGTATTACTTGCAGTTATTGAAGTGAACAAGAAGGATATAGTCTTCCTGATAGATGGCTCAACTGCACTGGGGTCTGGCCCCTTTAACTCAATTCGTGATTTCATTGCCAAAATTGTGCAAAGGTTGGAGGTTGGACCTGACCTGATCCAAGTCGCGGTGGCTCAGTACGCAGACACTGTGAAGCCAGAGTTCTATTTTAACACCCACCAGAGCAGAAAGGATGTGATGGCTAATGTGAAGAGAATGAAGCTCATGGGTGGTACGGCACTCAACACTGGCTCGGCACTGGACTTTGTGAGGAACAACTTCTTCACCAGTGCTGCTGGGTGCAGGATGGAGGAAGGGGTGCTCCCCATGCTGGTGCTCATCACTGGTGGTAAGTCTATGGATAGTGTTGACCAAGCTGCAGCAGAGATGAAAAGGAACCGGATAGTGATCCTTGCCATTGGGTCAAGAAATGCTGACCTGGCAGAACTTCAGGAGATTGCCCATGAGAGAGATTTTGTGTTCAATCCGAACGACTTCCGTGTCCAGTTCATGCAAGCCATTCTTCCTGAAGTGCTGTCGCCTATCAGGACACTCTCTGGAGGACTGATTATTCAAGAACCACCATCAGGTAGTTAATGACCTGTTTCTAATTAAAGACATATGGTTTATATATTTGTCAACCCTTATTCTAGGACATGTAGAGATAAAGGGGGGAAAAGCATCAAGCACATGTTTCAGCATAGCTAAATGTTGTCTCTTTGATTTACAAAATGAGGAGGAACAGGTTGGTGAATTTGGTAGTGTAGTTGTTGTTACAGCTTTGTCATTCCTTCCTGGACATTTTTGTCCCATTCTGTATTTGTCACCAACATTTAAAGGCCTGGATGTGAAAGATGTGCTTTACTAGTCAGGTACTGAAATCATACAGTGGAGGCTTTTTCTCTTGCTTAGGGTTTGTGTAATTTATGAACAGGGCACACCGTGAATGTTAAAGTATCTCGTCCTGTTTGAGAATAATCTCTGGTGGATATTTGCTCAAGAAAGCTTAGAAGATTCTTCTGAGTGTTAAGAAAATAAGCAAGTTTGTTCCTGGAGATGTTCACTGAAACTCACCCTTTCAGAGCATATTTACAGTTTTCTTGTCATTTACTCAGCTCAAGCCCTAAGAGACGTATGAGACTATAGCAGTGTTGGTTTTCATTTAATCTGTTTAGAAGGTGATCCAAACACCTGTGAAGCCAGTGGATTCTTTTTACTTGGTGTTGCCATTGAGATCAGTCATTTGGAAGGAATCCACTTGCTAGTCATGTCTTTTCAGGCAGTTTCTGCTGCATCTCAAGAGGTGTTGTAGCTGACTACTGATTTTATTCCAAATTTCTCAGGATTTCTTCCCAATAGGGATGCTTGAAGTTGAACTAATGCAATGCTCCATCATATTTGAACCTTGCATTTCTGTCTTATGGCATATAAACATTGAAAACCAGGACTTTCTCCAGCTCCCAGGAAGGTCAGGAGTGAGGTTCCCCTTGGTTTAAGTGGGTGTTGAACCATGTGCATAATGTTTTTAGTTTCTGCAAGTAATTTCAATTGTAAACCATGGTGCAAAACAAGCAGCTTTTGGAAAGGGTCCTTAAGGAATGAAAGCTGTTGGCCATTGTACATGAAGAGCAGCCCAGACACCTGAAAATCAGTTTGCCAATACTTGTCCTTAATTAAGATGAATATCACGGTACTTACCATTTAATAAGCTTGTTTTTTCAGAACATGTTTCCTGCTAATGCAGTTTTGCATGGCTATACACCAAACCTGGCATTCTAATCTTCAGTGGAAATGAAAAGTGTGCCCATACTTCCTTGTTCTTTAATGCTCATTCATGCAGCTTCTCTCTTTTTCCGGTCCTTTTGTTCTACTGTACTCACAGCTATTCACATACACCATAAGCAAGTAATCATATCCTACTCCATAGACTGTTATTAGTAACATACTGATTTTGACCCTGGGCAGTCTGTTTCATTTCAACTAGATATTGTCTCACACTGGGCCTTGAATCAGGCTTTTCTGGGATACAGCCCAGGAAGGGTTTAACCTTAAAAAAGGAGCTAAGAACTGGCTGGTTATGGCCAAAAGTGGGAAATTTCTCCCCTTTCAGCAGCTCACAGAATGGATGTCCACAACTGCAGACATCAACACGCACTTTTCTGCACTGTATATAGCCATCAAACAGGCAGGTGTCTCAAGCAGCTGTTGCAGTCTGGTCTGGACCAACTTTTCTAAGCCTATCAGTAAAAGCACTTTTTAATACCCACTAAAAATACCAGCCAAAATGGTTACTTGGCAAAAGTGTTTTCCCATATAAGTGGTGCTTAACCCTGTACCAGAGGCCAGCCGCTGCTGGCTGCACAGCGTGACCACGGAAGTCACTGCAGAGCAGTGCATGGTTTTCTACATCTAGGGATGCATGGGAGCATCTCTGTGGAATGGGGGATTGCTGTCACTAAGGGGGTGATAGCTCTGGCTGTCAAAGCCCACTTAAAGTGTCAGAAAGCAGAAGCATTCCCTAAAGCTTCATTAGAAAGCTCCAAGTAACTGTGTGTTGATTTGCAGATAAGGAAGGTGTCTATAGGTGTAACTCACTATTGCTCCACCAAAATCAGTGGAGCTGCCTTTTGATGGCTAAGGGTCTGGCCCAGCGCATGCAACTCTGACACTGACAGCCATTGAGAACATCTGCCATGGCAGAGTCTGAGCCCCATCGATAAACCTGACCTTTAAAAGACTTTTCAATACACATCAGAAACTTCCCCTGCCCAGTTTAGTCATTTCCAGCAAGGTCCTTGTTAATTCTGTGCTGATCACACTCTTTCTCATCTCTTTTTCTTGTCCTTCCTCCTAACCATGTTTACATGCGTGTACAGCGTATGCTGTATGCACACATGAAGAAAAATAATCCATGTTTGTTTTCTGTGATGTCTCATGTTGTTTTCTGTGCTCTACTGCAGTTCAAGTAACCAAAAGGGATATCATCTTTCTTTTGGATGGATCACTCAACGTCGGAAATGCCAACTTCCCCTTTGTGCGTGACTTTGTTGCCACCCTAGTTAACTACCTTGATGTCGGCAGTGACAAAATCCGAGTTGGCTTAGTGCAATTTAGTGACACTCCTAAAACAGAGTTCTTTCTATATTCATACCAAACCAAATCAGACATAATTCAACGTATGGGGCAGCTGAGGCCCAAGGGGGGGTCAGTGCTGAACACTGGCTCTGCACTGAACTTTGTGCTTTCAAATCACTTCACGGAAGCTGGTGGGAGCAGAATCAATGAACAAGTGCCGCAGGTGCTAGTCCTGGTGGTGGCAGGGAGGTCTGCTGATCCCTTCCTGCAAGTTTCCAATGAATTAGCTCGGGCCGGAGTGATGACTTTTGCTGTTGGAGTTAGGAGTGCGGATAAGGCAGAACTTGAACAGATTGCCTTTAATCCAAGAATGGTGTATTTTATGGATGATTTCAGTGCTCTGACAGCTTTACCCCAGGAGTTAAATAAGCCTATAACAACATATGTTAGTGGAGGTGTGGAAGAGGTTCCACTCGCCCCAACAGGTAATACCTGCCTTCCTGCATGTTGACTGCATTAAGTTAATCTTGTTTCTCTTGACCGTTTGTTCCCCATGTACTCCTTCACATCTGTCCAAGGCCCTGTGTCATCAGAGCAGTTCAGGCTGTGTTTAACCATCAAAACATAGCTTGACACTGGCAGCGTTTAGTTTTACTCAAGTCATTTCTAATACACTTTAAAGTCAGCACAATTTTAAGCCTTTTGGCAGATCAGAGCTGACAGAGGGTCCAAGCGAGTCTACACCCACCAGTCATTCAGGTGGTCCCTTTCTGTTGCCATAATAATGTCACACCCTGTAAATGCATCTTTGGCACTAAGTCAGGCAAGGAGTGATGTGGGAAGGTTAAAGTTGTACCAAAGAGCACAGAAGAGCAGAAGTCTATCCAGGTACAGGTGGCTGAATCCTTCCTCAGAGCCTCTTTGGCAAAGTGCTGTTATCAGGCTGTCACAGAGGCTGAATTTGACTCCAGATATTCAAAGTTACCCTCCAACACTAAACCCCAAAGTTGTTGGAAAACGTAACCATTTTTAAACAGGTATTTGCTCACTATATCCCTTTTTGTGGCTATGTGCATATCAAGACTTAAGAACAACCAGGATTGTTTAGTATGGAAAGGACACAATTAAGATTAATATGAAAGATGTTAAGACACACAGATATGAGATGCTTGGTTTTCCCTTGGATATTGAATGAGATTAAAAGGGCATCAAAGGGAAACAGGTAAAAGGCTTTTTCTCCTCCCAAAGTCATAACTAGCCTGTGGATTTGAATGCTTCTTGTGATGCAACTAGGAGAGGTACTTTAAGAGAATACAGAATACGCTCTGTGTGTATGTATGTATGAATTAATATCTATTTGTTATCTCCTAAGCCTTTAAATAGAAAGAAACCCCACAACCCCCCACTGCTGTTGTACTTCATGCCTGTATTACCAGCATATTGCTAGACTATATAATCATCAGTGGCCTAATCTGAAACAGCCAATTTATGATCTGAATGATATGATGCAACACAATGTACGATATAACTATCTGGTGCTTGAATTTATTGAGTCCTAGGGTAGAGATGTCCTTGCTTCCCCTTCTTCCTCAGATAAATAAGTCGAAGGTGCTGTTTAGTCCTGTAGCCTTTGAATACTTTGTTAAATGAAAATCACTCACTTTGCATATTGAAACCCAGCTAATTTGCAGAGAAGTTTCTAGGATGATGTTTAAGAAGAAAAATGTCTTCATCTCTGTTTTTCCCCTCTTTTCATTTGTGAATTTATTCTAGAAAGCAAGAAAGATATTTTATTCCTGATTGATGGCTCAGCCAACCTCTTGGGTAGCTTTCCTGCTGTCCGGGACTTTGTACACAAAGTCATTTCTGACCTGAACGTGGGTCCTGATGCCACACGAGTAGCTGTAGCTCAGTTCAGTGATACCATCCAAGTTGAATTTGACTTTGCTGAACTCCCATCTAAGCAAGACATGCTGCTCAAAGTGAAAAGGATGAAGATAAAAACTGGGAAGCAATTGAACATTGGAGCTGCACTGGATGAGGCTATAAGAAGGCTATTTGTGAAGGAAGCTGGAAGCAGGATTGAGGAAGGAGTTCCTCAGTTTTTGGTCCTCCTTGCTGCTGGGAGATCAACCGATGATGTGGAGCAGCCATCAGATGCTCTGAAGCAAACTGGAGTTGTGACCTTTGTTATCAAAGCCAAAAACGCTGACCCTGCGGAGCTGGAAAGGATCGTGTACGCCCCACAGTTCATCCTGAACGTCGACTCCCTCCCTCGGATTTCAGAGCTTCAGCCAGACATAGTCAACCTCTTGAAAACCATCCAGCTTCAGCCAACAGGTACAGGGACCCCCAGGGTTTCCAAGAGGCTGAAAGACACCACTTACGTGCCCCCCTCAATTTGGTAACTGGGGCAATTGGGTCTGGTGATGTTTAAAACCATTACATAGAAACTGCTCCTCTGGTCAGGCTCCGATCCAGCAAAGAAGGTCCAAACTGAATTTTAAAGATGAGTAAGGAAAAAGCCTTTTGTTCAGCTGCAAGAGCTGCAGTAGGTCTGTTACTGGTGTATAAAACATGATAGAAACCTGAAATCCCACAGAGGCGTTGCCCCAGAGATCTTGCATAAGTTGATGTGCAATGCTGGCCAAGGGCTAGAAGAAGCAAATAAAGGCTTGTCTCAATTTCTCTTTCCACCCTCCCTTTTCTGGAGGAGTGATAGGGAGCAAGGAGCACTGCATGCACTGGATTCACTCTCGCTCCGTTATTTCTCACAGGAGATGGCGGCAGTTTCTATGCATTTTGTACCTATGCACCAGTAAATCAGATGCTTTTGGCTCAGTTACCATCACAGCCTCCATAGATGAGTGTGGATTAATTGAAGAATAATAAATCATAAAAAGAATCATACCGCCACGATTATAAATCACATTGTGTTACTGGAAATGATGCAGGTCCAGCTGTGTGATTTCCTAAGGCAGCCCTACCTTGGGTATTAACCTATCTCCCAACAACAGGTGGGGAAAAGGAAAAGTGTAATAATATCCATGTCATCTCTCCATACAAGTCCTGGGCAGATGGACTTAGAATCATAGAAACATAAAAAAGAAGGGCTGGAAGGGATCTCAAGGTGCCATCAGCTACATACCCCTGTCCTCAACAGGATCTTCTTGTCCAGAACCTGAAAACCCTCCGGTGGAGGAGATTTCCCAGCAATCTCTTTGACTGCTTTTATCTGTATCAGTAGATACTTTTTCTTAATGTCAAGCCTCTGCCCTCCTAGTCATAGTTTAAGCCTTTTACATCTCCTTCAGCTCAAGAAGGATACAGAAGTCAGATCATTCCCATGTTTTGTGTGACAGCCTTTCATTTACTTTAAGCTTGCCATGTACGCCTCTTCTGGGTCCTTGTGTCTCCAGCTGTGTGCCCAGCTCATTCAATCTTTCCTTGTAGGTCTTTTCTACCTTTTCACCCTTGTCTTTCCAATATTAGCCTGCTCCAAATGACCAGGGTGTAACAATGGTATTCACTAGTCATCTCTTACCGTATCCTTTCCATGTGGAGTCATTGCCCTTCCTATGTTTGTGCAGCTTCTGCCTCAACATAGACTAGTGTCACTAGCTGCTCCCTCCTTTTCAAACCATTTCTGTCTTGTCAAGATCACTCTGAATCCCTTTGATCACCAACTACTGTGAAAAATTGTGCCATTTGCTCACCAGTAGCTGCACCCACCTACTACTCTCCTAATATTCTTGGCTAAAAGACAGCCACCTTACAGGAGTACCCGTATTTTTTTCTTCTTTATCTGGTACCCATTCACTTTTGATAGGATTCTCCTCTGCTGCTCCTGAACTTTAGAAAAGGTGTATGAAATGGGGTGCACCAGGCTATGTCTGCTCCCTCTTCCTATCTGTACGACTCAACACAAGCTGTATTATCATTCCAGTCCTATGCATTAGCCCACAACATTTCCAACATTCATCTTAAGTGATAAACGTGATCTGAAGTTCGCATTAAGTCTTCAACTGCCTCTGTTAACTCCAGTATTCATAAGCAAATATTTAAGATTTTCTTCAGAGGGACAGATCATGCTTCTGCTTGTCTCACTTGACCCTGCTATAAACAAGCCAATGGTGCTTTTGGAGATACCACCCATCAGTTGCTGTTTGAAAGGCAGTGATGTTTTCTGCTTGGCTGAGCCAAAGCTTTGCAATTCTGTTAGTCAATAGCAGAATGTGTCAACAGTTCTCTGATCTTTGGCATTTCAGTCTTGTTTGTTTTGTTTTGAAGAAAGAACGTTTGGTCAAAATTCACTTTTTGGGGGGGCTTGAAGTTAGTAAAAATATAAAATCAGTAAAAAAAATAAAAAAATCCAGTGTTGGTCATTTTCGAAAAGCATTTCAGGGTTTTCACTTGGGTGTCTTTTCCAGCAAGTTTTTATTCTGTGTGAGCATGAGCAGGATTATTTCTTTCTAAGTTCAGTGAGGCCCCAGGAAAGCTCTTCACCTCTCACTGGCTCCCTGCGAGCACCCTCTCGGCAGGATTCCATTTCGTTCAGTTTTCTCTGGGAGCAGATTCCTGATGCCCCAGACTTACTGTTGCATATTGCAAAGCCATATGTACCAGCTTCCCAGCCCTACTGGGAGCAGCCAGCTTCTCCCAGCCTCAAGTAGGAGATGGCACCTGGAGTCCCTTGGCACCCGATTTCCTATGGCTCTATGATTCTATGACTTGGTGGGTAAGGCATGGCACGTGTTGCACTGCGTTTTCCACTGGCTTCCACCCATCTGCCTCTTCACCAGGGATTGCATCTGATGGCAAAGGAACCAAACCAGCTTTCCTGACTCCTCGGTTTCCCCTCCCTGAGCTTTTGTACTCCTTCGGTTCCATGTATGTAGAGCATAATAATCACTGCAAAAGAGAATCTTACTTATTCCCCCCTTCTCTTACTTATCTCAAACAGTAGTTGAGAGAGGTGAGAAGAAAGATGTGGTGTTTCTAATCGATGGCTCAGATGGTGTCAGAAGAGGTTTCCCTCTGCTGAAGACCTTTGTCCAAAGAGTTGTTGAAAGCCTGGATATCGGACGTGACAAGGTCCGTGTCGCCGTTGCACAGTACAGCAATGTCATACAACCTGAGTTCTTACTCGACACCCACGAAGACAAAGCAGATCTCATCAGTGCCATCCAGGAGCTGAAGGTTATGGGAGGATCTCCTCTGAACACTGGAGCAGCCCTTGACTATCTCATCAAGAATGTGTTCACTGTGTCAAGCGGCAGCAGGATAGCGGAAGGCGTCCCACAGTTCCTGATCCTGCTGACTGCTGACCGGTCCCAGGATGATGTAAGGAGGCCCTCAGTGGTCTTGAAGACAAGTGGCACCGTGCCCTTCGGCATTGGGATAGGAAATGCTGACATCACAGAGCTGCAGACCATTTCCTTCCTCCCAGATTTTGCTATTTCTGTGCCTGACTTCAGCCAGCTGGATACAGTGCAGCAGGTCGTCTCGAACAGAGTCATCCGGCTGACCAAGAAAGAGATAGAGTCACTTGCCCCTGATCTGGTTTTTACATCACCCAGCCCAGGTGAGAAGATGTTTGTGTCTGCACCGAGAGCCAGCGGCAATATATGATGTTTAGTAACATCATGGTTGCAACACAAACAGAAAAGCAAGTGGTCCCAGCTAAGATTCCAAGTCCATTTTGGTCTCCCTGTTGATGTACTTAGGATTGGTAGGATCTGCGTAACTAAGCTGAGCCACCACCTTTAAGCCCAGTTCCTCAAGGTCGTCCTTGTTGTATCCACATGGAAGACCCACAAAATAAATGCTAATACCTTAATCTTATTTTAAGTTGTGATGGATTTTAAGTCCATGCTGTTCCTTGTGGAATGGAAATTGCATCATTTAGATGCTATAGGGACATCTTCACACCACTGTAAATCAAGGTCAGCTTTCTGCTAAATGTAAGACCTGCTGATGTGTGTTACATTTGCCCCACTCATTTACTGGGGGAAGGGAAGCTGGAAGCAGGCATCAGGAAAAGAATCAGATCTTCCATTTCTGGTCTCACTCGGAATGAAATCCAGCCAGCTTATGCCTGGGGTGGAGGGTACCCTGAATTACCACTGCAGAAAACATTAGGAAGCAAAAACTTACCCTGGAAAGGCAGAAGCTGAGACAATAATAGGATAGAAACTTTGCTAGAGGACAAAGCCAAAGATAGAGGGGTGGTACTGAGTGTAAAACAACCCCATGCAACCTGCTCTGAGTAAGGAATGTCACCAAGCTACATTTCCTTGTGTGGAGATCCCAGAAGGAATTATTGTTGCAGGTTTCCCCGGCTCCCTCTTGCTTCCTTTGCTCTGGAAGTTGCTTTTCTTGCGCTCCCTGGGGATGTGCCTAGCAGACTGATCCCGTCTCTGGGTTGAACCCAGAACTGCCTGCTGGGACTCACAGGAGATATCACAAGCAATGAAACAATGAGCATCCTCCCCATGGCCAAAGACATGGGCCAGTGATGTAGATAATGAGCTTAGTTGTTCTCCATAAGCAATGTGTGATGCATCTTCTGACCACTGCCTTCTTTCCTGCAGCGGGTGTGAAGAGGGACGTCGTGTTCATGGTTGATGGTTCCCGCTATGCTGCCCAGGAGTTCTACCTCATCCGTGATCTCATTGAAAGGATAGTGAACAACCTGGATGTGGGCTTTGACACCACCAGGATTTCGGTGGTCCAGTTCAGCGAGCATCCGCACGTGGAGTTCCTGCTCAACGCGCACTCCACCAAGGATGAGGTGCAGAGTGCTGTGAGGCGGCTGCGGCCGCAGGGTGGCCAGCAGGTGAACACGGGGGAGGCCCTTGAGTTTGTGGCAAAGACCATCTTCACCCGGCCCTCCGGGAGCCGCATAGAGGAGGGTGTCCCTCAGTTTCTGATCATCCTCTCCTCCCGCAAGTCTGATGACGACTTAGAGTACCCATCGCTCCAAGTCAAACAAGTGGGGGTGGCACCTATGGTGGTAGCAAAGAACGTAGATCCTGAGGAGATGGTACAGATTTCCCTTAGTCCTGATTATGTATTCCAAGTCTCCAGCTTCCAGGAACTGCCCAGCCTCGAGCAGAAGCTGCTGACTCCTATTGAAACCCTGACTGGGGATCAAATCAGGCGGCTGCTGGGAGATGTGCAACCCTCTGTAGGTAAGGCTCTGTCAACACCAACTGCCTCTGTGTTGCTGTTCAAGCAAACGTTGCCCAAATGTGTAAATAGCTTTTCATCCCTTCTCTATCAACCAAGGTTTTCCTCAGTTAAAATCGAAAGTGTCACACATACAGTTTTGGAAGGAAACCTTCAGATATGTATAAATTCGACCCAGGTACCTAAGTACATTATAACTTAGGATTTTCAAGTCAAGTGCCTAAGTATGTTATCTGTTTTGATTCAAGTCAAATACCACAATATGTACAATTGTTTCTTCCCATTTAGCAGCTATCTAGGAAAGAGAAATAAATCTGGAGCAATGTGAAGCTGGAAACACTGACAAATCCAGAGAGGAGTGTTAATGAACAAAACAAATAAGGTTCTGAGTAATGCATGATTTGAGCATGAGGCAGACTGTTAATACACACTTGCACGCAAGCTCTTTTGGAGAGGCTTCTCAAAGCACCATGCCTAAAGTTGGCTAAAATATGCTTTGCAGTTTTACATCACACAACAGATAGATAGCACAAAAATCCTTCAGCAAAGCTTAAGCAAAGACTTGGCACATAATTTCCTTCCTTCTTGCTTTATTTCTGCAGATATTTCTGGTGATGAAAAGGACATAGTCTTCCTCATTGACTCCTCTGACAGTGTCAGGCCCGACGGGCTTGCTCACATCCGGGATTTCATCAGCAGAATTGTTCAGCAGCTGGAAGTGGGGCCAAATAAAGTGCGAATTGGTGTGGTGCAGTTCAGCAACAACGTCTTCCCTGAGTTCTACCTGAAGACCCACAAGTCCAAAAATGCTGTCCTGCAAGCCATCCGCCGCTTGAGGTTTAGAGGGGGATCCCCTCTGAATGCTGGAAAAGCCCTAGACCACGTGGTGAAGAACTACTTCATCAAGTCTGCAGGGAGCAGGATAGAAGACGGAGTGCCCCAGCACCTCGTTGTCATCCTTGGGGACCGGTCCCAGGATGACGTGAACAGGCCTGCCAACGTGATCACTTCAACGAGCATTAAACCTCTGGGTGTCGGAGCCAGGAATGTGGACAGGAACCAGCTGCAGGTCATTACTAATGATCCCGAGCGTGTGCTTGTGGTGCAGGACTTCCCAGGACTCCCAACTTTGGAAAAGAAGGTGCAGAGTATTCTTGAAGAGCTTCCAATACCTACAACAGAAACACCTGGATTTCTAGGACCTGGTAAGGCTCTTATTCATCCTGCAGACTTTTCTGGACAGAGCACGGATAAAATTTGTTTAATGTGAAAATGTTCCCATACTGACACTTTCTGAATCCCAACCCTTTAGTTGCATTGATTTAAAGAATGCTCAGAAGATGACTTTGTTGACCATATGAAAACATAGAGTTAAATTTGAATTGAGATGAGGATGTTGATCACAAAACCAAGTAAGGTTGTATGAAGTGTAGTAAGTGGTGTATAAAACCTTTCTTCTTATATGTATGTATAATTATAGAATGGTTTGGGTTGAAGGGACCCTAAAGCTCCTCCGGTTCCAACCCCTGCCATGGGCAGGGCCACCTTCCACTAGAGCAGGTTGCTCCAAGCCCCTGTGTCCAACCTGGCCTTGAACACTGCCAGGGATGGGGCAGCCACAGCTTCTCTGGGCACCCTGTGCCAGTGCCTCAGCACCCTCCCAGGGAAGAATTTCTTCCTAATATGTAATCTAAATAAGGAGAGAGAAACACGGTGCTGCTTCACAAAGCACTAAGAATCATAAATATTACAGATGCTGCAGACAATTATTAATAACTGTATTTTCTTTGTCATCTTTCCAGGAGGAAAAAAGCAAGCTGACATTGTGTTTTTGCTGGATGGCTCCATCAATCTGGGGAGAGACAACTTCCAAGAAGTTCTCCAGTTTGTCTACTCTGTGGTGGATGCCATTTATAGGGATGGTGACTCTATCCAGGTAGGACTGGCCCAGTACAACTCGGATGTCACTGATGAGTTTTTCCTCAAGGACTACTCCACCAAACCTCAGATTTTAGATGCCATCAACAAAGTCGTCTACAAAGGCGGACGAGTGGCAAACACTGGCGCGGCCATCAAGCATATCCAGGCGAGGCACTTTGTGAAGGAGGCCGGCAGCAGAATCGACCAGAGAGTGCCCCAGATCGCCTTCATTGTCACGGGCGGGAAGTCCTCAGATGATGGGCCAAGTGCGTCCTTGGAAATCACACAGAAAGGAGTCAAGGTGTTTGCAGTTGGCGTCAGAAACATCGACCTGAAGGAAGTCAGTAGGCTGGCCAGCGAGAGCGCCATGAGCTTCAGAGCGTCCACAGCCCAGGAGCTGTCTGAGCTCAACGAGCAGGTTCTAGTTACGTTGGAAGCTGCTATGGAGGAGAAACTGTGCCCAGGAACAACGGATGTTACAAGAGGTAAGTGCCATCCTTTCATAACATGCTCAGGCCATTCCCGAGGGTGGCTTTTAATATCCAGTTGATGGACTTGTCCAGCCTTCTCTTCTGCTTTGCCTGTAGCCTGAGGTGGAGCATGGGCTCAGATCTTCTCCATGAGTGTGGTGGTAGGCTGCAAACCTTTGGTATGAGAGCTGCCTGTTCTTGTGCTTCAGTCTACTATATGTATAATAAGCCAGTTGGATTTCTTGGCCATTCTTCAGTCCCTGGCATGCATGGTGTGCTGGAAATATGAATTTCTCTTGCCAGACCATCCAGAGCACCCACTTGAGCTCATGACAGGTATATGAGAAAAAGCGAGGGCACGTGCAGCTGTAGTTTAAGCTAAAATTACCCTAAGAAGGAATCACATGATTTGGCTACTTGAAAAGCCAAGTGAGGGGAATTGGGGTGAGTAAGCGAGCTGGTATTGCTGTTGGACACAATCCCAGCAGCTGGCTTAACTTACTTACAGTGCGGCAAGTCCTGCTCCCAGGATAACTGACCACAGCTCAGCCCTCTGACTTATGAGCTGAGATGTCTCCTGAACCTCTGGGGAAGCTGAAGGAGAGCCACAGCAGCCCTGAGCTGAATGAGCAGCAGCTCCAGCCAAGATGAAAAGCTGAGCACAGGGAAAAGCAAAGCGCTGCTCTTGGTAACCATGATTGCAACACCACTGGGATTAATGCTAAAGAAAATTCAGTTTCAAAGTCTACATAGGTGCAGGAGATGCTGGATGAAAGGCATCCAGCAGCCTGACCTCCCAGTGCTCCAGACCCATGGGCAGCTCAATGGCTGCAGGGTGGCTCCAAGCCCATGCTAAATATTCCTGCAGAAAAGCAGACCATGCATCCCCTTGTTAGCTCAGGCTGAGTAACTTCAATGCCTCTTTCTGGCCTAATTCCCAGCTATCCCAGATAAATCCTAGTTACACCTTTCAGGGACTTGGGATCAGTCAGCTGGTTGTCACCTCCCTCTACATGCCCATGACTGGAGCAAGGTTGCTTTAAGCACAGGCAGTAGGTGCATGCACCCTGTGCAAGTAGTGACGGGGTTTTGTGCAGTGGAGACAAAACAGCAGTCCCAGCAGATAGAAGTGCATACTCGTGTTGGGCTTGGCTTGGGCAGCTCCTCCCAGCGCTGAGCAACAAGTGACAGGAAAACAGCAAAGAAAATCAACGAAATGCAGATTTTCCCAGGTCATCGTTGCTGTGGTGGAAGGAAGTAGAAGGCACTTGTGGGCCAAATGTTGGCAGTGCCTGATGCAGTGTCTTCCCTAACGACCGTGCCAGTGGCAGAGGGTTGGAACTAGATGATCTTTAAGGTCTCTCCCAGACCAAACCATTCGATGATTCTAAGACTAACAGAACAATTGGGAAAGTCATTACTTGAAAAACAATTACATGGCTCAATGGAGATGTTCTCCTTTCTTTTTGCATTTCCCTCTCAGACTGCAACTTAGATGTGATACTTGGCTTCGATGTCTCAGACGTTGGGCCTGGTCAAAATATACTCAATTCCCAGAGAGGTTTGGAGTCCAGAGTCGAGTCTGTGCTGAACAGAATAACGCAGATGCAGAAGATCAGCTGCACTGGCAACCAGGAGCCCAGTGTCAGGGTGGCCATCATGGCCCAGGCTCGTGGGGGACCTGTGGAGGGACTGGACTTCTCCGAGTACCAGCCTGAACTCTTTGAGAAGTTTCAGGGCATGCGAACCCAGGGGCCCTACTTCCTCACAGCTGATACGCTGAGGTCCTACCTGAGCAAGTTCAGATCCTCGCCCTCCGGCAGCACCAAGGTAAGACAAAACTAAGGCCACTGGGATGGTGTTGGCCAGGAAACTGGCTTCTGATGCACTGTAATTGGTAAAGCAACTGTGAATTCATAATAAATACAATCCATTCATTAGATAGATTTATTCATAATAAAGTTGGTGACATAAGCCCTACTAGTTTCCTATGCATTGTCAAGGTCCTTTCCTGACAGCTGCTGAGCATTGCTGCAGCTAGTACCCACGAGCACTGCCTGACTGCAGACTATTGCTTTCCAGGTATTTCCCTGTTCGTGCTCTAGCAACACACACCTGCATGTTACCATGTGCAGAAACCTGGCACAGAAATGCAAAGCTTCGTAGCCTGTAAAGGGTGTAGCAATTCCCCCATCTCCTCTCAGATGAAGCATCACTTGGAAGGAGGCCCTTCCGGTTGCATATTGATTGTGTTCTATACTCAAAAAGTTCTGGGTCCTGACATAAGTTTGTTTCTCTCCCAGGTCATAATACATTTTACTGATGGTGCAGATGACTCGATAGAAGAGCTGGAGGCCACTTCGTCTACTTTGCATGCAGAAGGTAGCTTTTTTACTCTTCAGGGCAGTGATTATGGTCCATGTCAATATTTGGCCCATTTTACCACTTTTTCTCATGAATCCTCCAGCTTTTGATAGTAATGAATAAGGACTTCATGGTTTCTACATGCACTTGCTGTTCTTCATTGCCTTCCTGTGATATTTAGCTGCCAGCTGGCACCTAAGCGTGTGGGTAACTTGCACTGAATGTGCTTGAAGATGCTTGTTCTCAACTGATCAGCTCTGCTTGCAATCAAAGAGGCAGATAACAACCTGTCCTTACAGGGGTGGGTGCACAGGCTCTGCAGAGCACCTCGCCCCATCACACAGCCCCTTCTGCTTCTCCCCTCTCAGGTGTCAACGCTCTCATCTTTGTCGGGCTGGACCGAGTGAGCGATTTTGACAGAGTGATGCAGCTGGAGTTCGGCCGTGGGTTCACCTACAACAGACCTCTCAGGGTTAATCTGCTGGACCTGGATTTCGAGCTGGCGGAACAGCTCGTAAGTGACTTGGCACCAGCAGGGCTGCCTTGTAATGCTGGAGGAAAGCTGATGCTGGATCTCCTGTGGGGCTGAACTGAGGCTCAATTACACCCTCTTGGCTCTGGTCCTCTCCCTGTCCTGCCTCACGTCAGCGCTTTTTACACATGCCACAGCAAGTGAAGCTAAGAGCAGACCATGGCGCTGCCTGGTCCTGCACCACACCTGAAGTGCTGCTCCAGCCAAGGCTACAGCGTGTGGGATTAGGTCCAGTGGGATGCTAGAAGAGGCCACCCTCCACCCATATTTATATTGCTGGGTTTTTAACTGTTCGGGTAATGCACTGTCACGCCTTGTCAGTGCTAAACCTCTTGCAGAAGCCCGGCTTTCTAGGTTTCTTTCTCCAAGCTGATACACTGCCTGTATTTCAGACACAGGAAGGAGTTATCCTTTCTTCTGCCACTTCTCTCCCATGTGTGAAGTCCCTCTCAAGTTTGTTGAGTTAATTTGCTATCAACCTCAGTATGTCCAGTTCCTCCAAACTTCACATCTGCTACCAGCATCATTAAGCTTCTTTTCCAGTAGAATTGATAAGATTGGGCTTAACCACTGATCCCTGTGGTATCCTTGCTGGGCCCTTCTCCACAAATCAGCATGCAGTCACTTGAGAGTAAAGCTTGGGTTTGGGGATCAGAGCTACTCCTCAGCCCATCCCCAAGTAACTCAGTTGCCTAGGAAATCCTTTCAAGATGTAAATGTGCAAAGCTGGCAGGAAGCATTTGCAGCCAACAATGTACTTGGCAAAGAAAGTGATTTTTTTCCTTCCTATCGGATGATGCAAAACCAAGCTGTGATTTCTCTGAATCCATAGTTTCTTCTTTTCTTTCTTTCTTAGTTTCTTTCTTTCTTAGTTTCTTTCTTTCTCTCCTTCTTTCTTTCTTTCTCTCTTTCTTTCTTTCTTTGTCTGTCTGTCTGTCTGTCTGGTTTTGCATCTTTCTGTCTTTTTTTTTTCCTCTTTTCCTGTGTGCTCACAAACTGCTCTCAGCCTGCAGGTCACTGGCCAAGTATTCCCTGCAATGACCTTCTTACGGGCTATTCCACGTATGTTTCTTAGGAGATGACATTCCTCTCTACAGTGACAGGCACTGCTCTGGGGACTGATCTACTAAATGCTCTCTACAAATTCTGCCCCACACAGTTCCCATTTAAACCCTTGCCTCTGATGTCCAAAAGAACATCGACTGCTGCTTCCTAACCATGCAAACTAACGAGTCTGCCAATACACGCCTCCTTCTCCTGGTGTGTTGTGAGTGTTTCAAGGTAGAGAGACCCCAAAATGCTGCCAGACTGATGTTAAGTTTGGCATGGGACCAATTGCACGGTTCGAGGACTTGCAGGAGTTATGGTGCTGGTGCTCTGGCAGGTTTTAACACCTTTCTGTTGTCTCATGTGCATTTTGCTGCAGGACAACATCGCAGAGAGGACTTGCTGCAAGGTCCCATGCAAGTGCTCAGGGCAGAGAGGGGACAGAGGTGTGCCAGGCCCCATAGGACCAAAGGTGAGTCGCATCACCGGGGGATGAAGGGTCCCTAATGCAAGATCAGTGTCCACTATGGTGGTGATGGGTGGGTGACGTGCAGGCTGCATACATTGTAATGGGTGATGCTAATGGGAAATTCATCTCCACTTGTCCCCCATTTTAAGGCTGGCCCTGGGCCATGCATAGTGGTTGAGAGCTGCTGCTCTTCCTTTTACTAACAGCTTCTGTGTTGTAAAACAACCAAGATGTCAGGGATGAGTGGCTACAAGGATGGGATGAAGTGTCTTGTGAAACAATCCAGGGATGTCAAAAGGAGATGGTTTCTCTCATCAACAGTTTACACAGATGACCAAGCAGCCACTTTGTGCAAATCTGGGGAAATCTTGAATATCAATTTAGAGGGAGATCATGTGAAAGAAATGCAGAATGCTCTCTGTTGTCTTCTAGGGTGCCACGGGTGATCTTGGCTACGGAGGCTATCCTGGTGATGAAGGAGGACCGGTGAGTGATGTGCCTGCTCCGCACAGTACTGCTCAAATAAGGGACCTCACCATAGTGGAGGCTTTTTCACTAAATATTTTCTACTGGGGGTGCGGGCTTGGATTAGATGAGAAAGCAAACAGTACTTTGTGTTTTCCCCCCGATGGCCTGAGTTGTTGGTCCCAGTTGCTCCTGGGTCAGTAAGGAACAACTTGAGAACTGGAGAAGGCATGTTGGGGGGAATAATTCCTAGTATTTGATGTGACCCAGCTCTGTGCTGTTCCTCCAAGGCAGGTAGGAATGTTTGCAGCTGGTCCCAAACACCTCTGAGCAGGGCACGGTGATTATGAACACAATAAAAAACCCAACTTCATTAAAGCTGCAGCCTTTGCCAAAGTTACCTGTACCCAATGCAGCTGAAAGATTTGAGTTAGCCCAAGAACGGGACCAGAAAGGGGTGTTGTGATCCATCGCAGTGGCAGACAGCGTGAGTCCCATGACTTCTCACTAGTGCTGCTTCATCCAAGCTCTTGATGAATCCCACGTCACCCCTGGAATAAACAACTCCCCACGCATTACACCCAGAGGTGAAGCTGAGGCCACGGGGCTGGCAGTGCTCATTGCTTTGCCAATAGCACAGGCAGAGCCAAATGCTGCCGTCAGATATCATGTGCGATGCAGTGTTTTCACGGGGCTCTGAGGTCAGGGTGGGATTAGACATCTCTGCAGAGCTCTGAGGGGTTTATCTTGCTTTATTTTAAAGGAGAAGTTTTGTAAAGCTCTTTCACAGCTGAGAGTTTGGGAGGGATGTTTCTCAGGGGTGAAGACTTGGAGTTGGTCTGTACATGAGGAAGGCTGTAGGCGGGAGATGATGGTGTCACTGAGCATTGTGCTTTCAAAACCTGACCTAAGTTTAGTCCTGTGCTCCCAAGCCCCCTCCTGCGCTTGCTGATGGGTGCAGTCAGCTGAAGAAACACGCTTAGCAGGCAAACCCTGACCATTGCTTTTTCCTCTCCATGCAACAGGGCGAGCGTGGACCGCCTGGTGTGAATGGGACACAGGGTTTCCAGGGATGCCCCGGGCACAGAGGAACCAAGGTACATGCAGAAGTAGCCTGCCTGGAGCAGACCCAGAGTCCAGTTGGTGAGAGTCCACCGAGGGCAACTCCTGCTGCTGTAGGATGTCGCACAAGAGCTGCCACATCCACTTGAGTGGTGGTGTCCTCCTGGCCAAACAGCATGGCTTTCGGCTGGTGTCATGGCTTTAGCGTTGCTATGAAGAACAGAAGGGCAGCCTGGAGACCAAGACTCAATCTGCAAACAAGGCTGATCTGTTTTGTGCAGTTTGGCTTTAGATGAATGATGTGAGAAGAGATGGATTTGTTCTTAACACCAAGAAATGGTGTGTCTTGGCCCAGGGGTGGGATGGCGCGTGGATGGAAATCTATTGTTGGTGAGAGGGAGAAAAGTGAGCCACGGCTGCTGCTTCAAAGAGGAACCTTGAGCAAATGGTTCAGGGCAGCAGCCACAAGCCTGAAAAGGTAGTGAAATTTATAGTATTTATGGGAAATATTCAGTGATGTTAAGGGGATGTTTCCTACCATTGCTCTGACCACAGGATCCTCTGGCAGGACACAGAGTGCATGAACCAAGCCCATTAGTTGCAGCTGAGATACTGAGTTTCTTCAAAAAGCTGCTCAGCCTTGGACAAAGGCACCAAGGCTGGATCTGGATTCATACAGAAATAGGGGCAGGGAGAAAAGGAAGTCAGTGGAGTAAGAACTGGGTCTAAGGAGTAAGCTGTTCTATTGGATCAGCTGGCTAAACCCCACAATGCATGTGTTTTATCTTGGCATGAGTGCTGAGGAGGCAGCTGAAGAAGACAGAGAACTAAGGGACAGTCAAACCCTGGTGCAGCAAGCCTTGCTCTCGTGCCCTGGTCCTGGCTCTGGGTCTGCCCCCAAGCCCAGTCCCCCTCCCCACTGCTTCCCACAGTGGTGAACTGGGCAAAAGTGGTGTAACTCCCTTTTCTGTCTCTTCAGGGTTCTCGGGGATTCCCAGGAGAGAAGGTATGGAGCAATTTCCTCGTGCCACAGCAGTGAGCGTGAGCATATGGACGCACCGGTGTCCTCCTTCCCCTTCCCTTTTCCCATGGTGAGCATTTGCCCCTTGCATCTCTTCCACAGGGTGAACTGGGAGAAATGGGTCTGGATGGCATTGATGGAGAAGAGGTTAGTGATTTTAGTTGCTGTTTTCTTTATGATGAGATACTTTGGTGAAGCATCTGAGAAACGTCTTGAAAGCTGCAAATATTCTAAAGTATTTCTCTTTACTAGGGAGACAAGGGTTTGCCTGGCTCCTCTGGAGAGAAGGGGTACTCTGGAAGGAGGGTAGGCTCTTATCACATTTATGACGGGGCTGAATGATGGTGAACAAGAGGATTTGGGCCAGGGAGGATGGAAAGCCATCGTGCTCTCCTCGGGGCTGAGGTGCGTGGCAGCAGAGGTACTGAACACGGGCAAGGGCTGCTTTTTGCTAACTCTCTGTCTCCTCCCACAGGGTGATAAGGGAGTTAAAGGAGAACGAGGAGAACGAGGTGACCGTGGGCTCCGTGGAGACCCGGTAAGTAGACACTGCTGAGGTCTCTCCTTGGCTTTCCACCTGCTTTCCACCAGTCCCGGGCTCATCAGCAAACATGCACCTGGGACAGTGACAGGTCCAGCGAGAGAGCAAGGACTCAGAGGTGACGTGTGGGTAACACATGCCTCTTGATGCCAACCTGTCAATCACTGTTTCATTGTGTTATAACCCCCCTTCATCCTCTTCTTCACTGTGATTATTTCTCACTTGAAAAGCTGTGTCTGAAAACACTGTAATATTTTATCTAATTCAGTCAAAAAAGAAAAGAAAAGCAGTGTTGGGTGTGAGCCGTGGCAGAGCAGTTTGGTACCTGCTTTCCATGTCCCACTTACACAGATGTTTCTCGTTGCTCTATTGCTTTCAGGGAGATTCGGGAGCTGATAATACTCAGCGGGGATCCAGAGGCCAAAAGGGTGAAATTGGACCAATGGTAAAGTTTCTTTGTCATCTTTTGTTGGTTTTGGTTTTTACAATAGGATGGGACAGAGAAAGTAAGAAGAAAGGATGTCAGAGAAAGGTGCAGGGTTCTTACACCCATTGGGCCTTGCCCGATGTTCCAGGAGGAACACTTTTCCATGAGAAAAGTTGTTTTGCAACCAAAGCTTTGGGAAGACATGAGCTTAGAAGATGTTTTTTGTGTGAAAAGTTATCATTACTGTCTTTATACAGTGCCTTTGGGGATATTGTGACTGAAAACAACGTTGTTCCTAGAAATTGACTTCATATGTTCTTGTGGGTCCTACACAAAAGCACAGAAGTGTTCAGATGAAAGCAGGTCTGATACCAGTCCTGATTCACCTGGAACCTTTGGAAGAACAGCTTCACACACTTGGGAAGCTTTCAAAAGCCATTGTTTTCATAGCAGCTCCTGATAAAAATTCATCTTAAAATGTCAGGAGGCACTTAGCAAAGAACAGGCTTGCTCTGGCTCAGAAACTGGATGTAAAGTCTCCATGAGCTGTTAGAAGGATTTCCACTGATGTGGGAATATTGAGTAATGTGTGAGAGCATGAAAGGACCAGTTGTGTGAGAACTGAACCAATTTTCCCAGTGCCTGCTCATCTCAGGGCTCTCACTTAAGTTTTGCTTTTCCCTTAGGGAGAGCCAGGACCGGTGGGGCTGGATGGCCAAGACGGTGAAGTTGGAAGGAAGGTGAGCTGCCAGACCCACGCTTAGAAGGGGCCTAGCATAGACTGACAATAACATTTTCCCTCCTGCCTTCCCATGTATTTTGTTTCACAACCATCAGGATTTCAACCTAGAAAAAACCCTGAACAAATAAAAAACCCCAAGAAAACTCAAAAGGAATATGCCTGGTTGTTCGCTGGCTTCTTGTATAGACTTTAAAGGTCTAATCTTGAGTTTATTTCCATGTAAGTAACTCAGTGCTCAGACCAGTGAAGCTACATCTGACTTACTCTGGCATAGGCATCTGGCATGCAGGCATGAGGGAGCAACTCACCTGTGTGGTGAAGAGTTGGGGGATGCAAGGAAGGAGAAAACATGCCAAAGTTTGATATAAGAGATCCAGCCACATGGATTTCTTTCTCCCTCTCTCCCCAGTAGTTTAAACTGTTCAAATGTAATTTTGGACTAAGAGAAGTGGCAATAGAGAAATGTGCGCTTATGTACTTGAGTAACAAGTCTCATTGTTTCTTTGTTTCCAGGGTATGGCAGGACGAAGGGGACCGATAGGAGTTAAGGTAAGTGGTGATGGGAACACATGGGGCTCCTGCCATGCCGCTGGCCAGGCAGCCACAGCACCCAGAGACATACCAAGAGAAGGGACATACAGGCTTTGCTTCCTTTTCTCTGTCTCCTCTCTCCTCCCAGTTTTCCTCCTGTTCTTCAGGCTCATCTCCCTGTATGCTCCTTGCTGGATTCAGTGCAAAACCAGCCATCCATGCGCCTGGGGCTGCCTGTCCTCTGCAGTGTTCCCTGGCCCGATGCTTTGTCTCGGCTTGCTGCTGGAGTAGTGTAATGGGGCCAAAGCATAAAGGAGGTTGACGCCTGTTCATTGCAGGAGGTGAATTAACCCTCTAGTTCTGTGCTTATTCTCTGCTATAACCACATTCTGACAAAAAACCCAGATAACTGTTCTTCCCTGCTCTTTATGCGGCTGTAAATGGCCTGAGATCTCCTGTCCCTCCCCATGGTGTTGACATTCCCCCATGATAACCTGCATTGTCCTCTTTTGCACTTCAAGGGTACCAAGGGTTCGCCTGGTCAAGCGGGGCCAGCTGGAGAACAAGGCATGAGAGGGCCACAGGTCAGTGAGCTTACAGCAAAGTAGATGTCTTACCTCAGATGCTGTTGTGTTATTTCATCACAGCCTCTTCCTCAAAGCGTCTCAGCAGTGAGGACTGTCGGGATTTGGGTATTTTCGGGTGTGCTGTGGCCTGGCTGTCCTGCCCAGGGACATCGAGTCATCCCATTCGTACCACCCAAAGTGGACACGTTTGACAGCCATCTCTCGGGCTGCCGCAGCGTTTGCTTTCCCGTGCGACCCGGGGTAGCACTGGTGTGTTTCTGCCCACGTGTGTGACACAGTCTCTTTTCTCCCCACACAGGGTCCGCCCGGCCAGCTGGGCACACCAGGCATCAGAGGAGAACAGGGTGTTCCTGGACCCAGGGTAAACCCTTTTGCTGCTTCTCAGCCATCGAGCCAACTGTACTCAGCAAGAACATCTCACTGAGCTAATAAGATGCAGCCAGTGTGTCTTTCCATTCCCACCCTTTAGGGTTCCAACTCTGTTCAACTCTCTTACAACACACTCTTCCAGTATGATTCTCCTCTCAACTTACGCTAAAGAGTTCTTGATCAAGAGTTACAGGAGAGAAAGAGTTCAAAGCAAGCACAAAAGGGTCAGGACTTCAGTGTTTGGCCCATTATGGTTTGTGAGCTTAATTAAAGCCCGAAGTGACTTGCAGGACATCTCTGACGCCAGAGCACAACCACCTCATATGCTTGCTGGGGGCCCCCCATGTGTTCATTTCTCCCTCCTGCTGCATACCCCAGCAAGACCTGTGGCCATAAAGCCAGACACATCTTGCATTTCCTCCTCCTGAGCAGGACTTTGCCCCTCCTGTTTGCACCTTTCCCAGGGGGTGCTCTCTGGGGACAATATAAGTTGCTGCTGACACTTGCATTGAACTGACCTGGCCCTTCAGCTCTTCCTGACTGTCAATTAGACTTCTGAATTTCCTGAGGGGCTTTGAGAGGCATCAGCCCTTGTAGTTAACACATGACTTCTACGGTCATGCAATACCCTGGTTTCTGGCACCCAGTTTTCTTGACGTGTTGCCAACGTGCCTCTCCCTGTATCTGTTCCAGGCTGGTGGTGGACCACCAGGAACCCCAGGAGAGCGGGGCAGGATCGGTCCCCTGGGACTAAAGGTATGTCTTCATGAGCATTGGGTATCAGCAACTAGAACAGTGATGAAAAGCTGCTGGGTAGGAGCAACCTTAAAAAGAATGAACCTGCTGGAGCAGAATTAGCTCATTTTCACTGGCCTCCACAGTGCAGGGTAGAGTAAGGTCCATGCTCCTGTTGTTTCATGAGGCTCCTCTTTCACTGGACAGAGTGGGAAAAGCAATTGAGTAGCTGAGATTCCCAAGTAGTTTTCCAGGGCAAATTCTCAGCTGATGCCCACATGGGAAGGTGATGGTGCTGGATCTCTCCAGACCCTCCATAGGTAAAACCGTGTGGTTTATGTTTTACCTCTCCAGGTTCACACACACTGGTTCATTTCCATGGCAGCTCCACTGTCCATTTGCACTGGGAAAATCTCCAGAGCTTGGGAGCTGTTCTTTTTGCGGTGTTCATGAAAAGCAAACCCCATCCTGTGGTGGGAGCTGGCTGGTCTCTGATGTCCCATTGCGCAGCCTCTCTGCCATCTCTAAAGGTCCCACTAAAGAGCAAGTGTTCTGTAGCAATACTGCCTGTGTAGGTCCAGTCATGATGTTCTTCTGCAAGGACAACTGCAGACTGGTCTATGTAAGGAAACCAGTGCTGATGGGGATGGGAAAGTCTTGGAGTCGCCTGGAGTTCCAGCTCATGCTTTAACAGATGCTCCCGTTTTCAGGGTGAGCCTGGAAACCCTGGACCCAAAGGGGCAAATGGACAGCAAGGCCCACGAGGAGAGATGGTAAGTGTGGCCATGCACTCACATCTTTGAGCATGCTGGTCTGAACCCTCTCCTGTGGCAAATGGGCCACAGCCCTTTCCACAGAGGGTTTAGCTCCCCTATGGACTTTGCATCCTCCATAGTACAAAATGAGAGAGAGAAATCAGCTTTATGTCCTCAGCTGGCCTGAGCAGAGTTTGTTACAGCAGTCTCTTCAAGGAGGTGAACTGTATTCGTTTGAAAAGTGACTTTTCACATCTCCGAGATCAGTCTGCAGGGCAGAGGCTCTCCAGAGCTGCTTACCTTGCCCTGGTTCATTGCATGAGGCACAGGTAGACACCCTGAGCTGATCCCCTGCGCTAGTCCAAAGTAACCTTTGAAAGGACATTGGAATAAGTTAGGGCTTTCATGGGGCCTGATTCTCATTACTTTGTGTAATGAGGAGCCAACTGAGGAGAAAATGGTTTGTGCAGAGCAAGGGAGGACAAGCTACAAGTACACCCCTAGTACCAGCTGACGTCCTAACCTGCTCCTCCTTGCTGACTTCTGCCCGGGTTTTACACATCATCTGTGTATACTAACAGGTTTTAATTCAGATTTGTAGTTTTGGCACCACCTTTTTGTGCTATTTTTTCTTGCAATAATTTCATCTATAGAAGCACTTCTCGAAGTCTGTGGCATGGGTTCCGATTGGGTATCGATGGTGTTGGATCTGTGAGGCTTAAGTGATTCTAGTTCAATGCATGTTGATGGCTTTGGTTTTCCAATTTTAGGGTGATGATGGACGAGACGGAATTGGTGGCCCAGGTCCTAAAGGCAGAAAGGTAGGTGTATGTCAGCATGCCCATCTACTAACGTGAGTTACCATGGACAAGGAAGTAGCCCATGTCTGCAGTGCAGACGGGCAAGGGAAGAGCCTAGGTGAAGTCAAACACATGCAGGAGCAAAAATAAGCCCTGTGTGTGCCCTGCCAAAAAAGTCAGGTTAGTCTCTTACAACCTTTCCCCTCTGCCTTTGTCTTAGTTTTGCCTACATAAATCAGCTTCTCCAAGGAGGAAGCATAATGGTTTTGCACCTTTTGGCCAGAAACCCCCATGAATGTCTGTGGGACTTTGAAAACAATGCTCCAGCATCTCTGACAGCTCCTCTGCAGTTGAAATTAGCCTCAGAGGAGCAGCCAGACCTTGAAAAGAGCAGCTGTTTTCTTTGCATTAATCACATACAGAACAAAATTGCAAACTGAATTTGCAATCTCACTCTCTTTCTCCTCCATCACTTAATCCCTGCAGTTCCTACACATCTCCCTGCAGAACCCACTTAATTTGCTAAACCATACTCAAATAATCCTTTCTGTTGTTTCAGGGAGAACGCGGCTTCATCGGCTACCCAGGGCCCAAGGTACGGTGCAGCCCAAGAGCTGTGCATTCATTCTCCAAGTGATGTAGCAGTTACCTGTGGTCCTGTGCAGATTTAGAGCTACCATTTGTTTTTCCCTGACCAGGGTGGACCTGGTGACCGTGGTGTTGCTGGAGGCCCCGGCCCTAAAGGAAACAGAGGCCGCAGGGTAAGTTGGACCATGGCACAGTTTTTCCCTTGTGCATGGACAGCCTGGAAGATATACACATCTTTTCCAAGTGTTGACACATGCTCCTGGGACTTCTCTGCTCTCTCTTTCTAGGGAAATTCAGGAGAACCTGGGACACCTGGTCAGAAAGGGGAAGTTGGATACCCTGGACCATCTGTAAGTGTTCATTGCATTGCTGATGGAGCCTCTGGCTTCCCCCTTTGAGAGGGTCTCGATTGCTTCTCTGAGAAACGTGGTGGTCCCTGTTGGCGTCTGGGGTTGAAAAACGTAGAATCATAGAACCATAGAATAGTTA